CCCTACCCGGGAAATCAGCTATTATACATGGTGCACGGTACTGACAACACAGACTATAACGAACTACACAGTGATAACACCTCTCAAAGTACTGATGAATATACTGAGCATATAAATTAGGCAACACATGCCAATAATATTACTAAACATACTGAGTATGTCAATTAGGCAACACATGCCAATAATATTAAATCACATACCCTGACAGCCACACATCTGTCTATAGCAACGAATGCATAAGGTATAAATGAGTCTAAACTTATTAGCCAGCTCACATGGTTCTATATGGCAACTCATCCATATAATATAAATGTGACATAATTAAACAGTCCATTTATTTCCTGAAATGCACACAGTATAATAATCATGGTTGATATATGATTAACAGTATAAATATCCCATAATATATATTGGATAATTTATATGACTAAAACATGGCATTATTTAATTTAACAGTAATGTTTGATACCATTTAATAAGATATTAACACTATTTATATTTAACAATGTCATTAAATAAATCACATTAATATCTGTACCGTAAACGAGCCAATAAATGCTTAGAAAAGATTAATTGGCCATAAGAATAATTAACGGGTATTAAAATAATAATTTTGTGGCCCGTTAAACCCGTAAATACCAACACAGTACATAAAAATCCAAGTTTAAGGTTCTGGAATTTACAAAACAGGCCCTAGGGGTAATCTGGTAATTTCCAACAGCTGACAGGGCCCCTCACGCGCCCCCACGCGCCGCCCTAAGCTTCCCCATGCGCAGCCCAACCTTCCCCACTCTCCCACGCGCCTCCACGAGCGTCTGGCATCAGCCACGCGCGCGCACGTGCTCCCACGCGCGTCTGGAAAGTTCCACGCGCGCGCATGCGCTCCCACGCGCGCGTTGATGGCTTCCTGCTGACGTGGCGTCCTCCGGTTGGTTGGCTGCATCAGCTTTCCTACATGCGCGCCACACCGGATCATCTATCATCTCATCTCACCTAATCCAAGGGTCAATGATCCGGGTGTACCGCGGTAACATGGACCGCGATGCACCGGATCAATCAGCTTCATCTAAGGCCCAGGATGCGCGCGCGCACTAACCTACAATGCGCCGCATCACACCGGATCACTCCGGTCATCTTCTTCACTGCCGGTGGCCGGAAACCTCGCCGGAGGCTCGCCGGAAATTGCAGAAAAGCCCCGGAAAAATCTAAAAAATTCTAGAAAAATCCCTAAAGCCTTATTTAATTATTTTCAGCTATATTTTAATTACATAGGCTAATAAATAAATATCTAACCTCTTTAATAATTAAAAACACATTATTTTAATAAACTAAAAATAATTAATTGAAATTCCTAGCATGGTTTCTAGTCTCTAAAACCCGAAATAAATTAAATGAATAATTTATGGATTCAAAGGGGAAAAGTAGATAATAACTTGCCTTTTTGGATTTAAAATAAATCCGCCGGTTGCGCGTAGTCGGGTAAATTTCTCCTACACCGATCCAAGCTCCTTTCTTTCTTTCTCTTCCTTTCCACACTTTTACAATGGCTTACTAAAATTTATAATTTGTTTCTACCTCCCTTTTCTTCCTTCTAAGGTAGGCTAGCTAATTTATATACAATTTATATAATATAAATATTACAAATATCTATTTTTGCATTTACTTACCCACATTCCCAACAATAAGGCTTTAAGGCAAGCAAGCCAAGTCAAGCAAGATGTCCTAAGGTAAATCCTATCCTAAGATTTAATTTCTTCATCATTACATTGATTTAATACTATTATTATTATTATAATAATTATTATTATTAAACTATTACAATTATTATTATTATAAATTTTATTATTATATTATTATTATAAATATTATTATTATTATATTATTATTATTATTATAAATATTATTATTATATTATTCAATACAAATTAAATACTTTAATTAAATAATAATAATTAATCTAAAACATAACCAATAAAAATTTCAAAACTAATCATTATACTATATAGAACATAAAAATCAATATTACATGCACAAATAAATAAAATTAATTAACTAATTTAACATATATAATTACAAGGTGAATAAATCTACACATTTAAAGAATTAACCTAACACAAAATTAATTCAAAATTAATTTAAATAAACTCTTTAAAATTACGGGGTATTACAATCGTGATGTTGACCGGCGGCGGTGTTCGCGTGATCGGATTTTCTAGGTTTGATAATGTTGACAAACGGTAGAGGCGGCGACGGTGGTTGTAAATCGCATGAATTTCACGCGCCCACAATCGTCTTCTTCCTTTAATACCCACTGCAGCCACCGCTGCCACAACACCCACCACCACAACCACTGCCACACAACACCCATTGCAACCACCACCGCACTCACACACCTATATATATATACACCACCACCACCATCGTCGCCGGACCATCGCCATCAACCACTATTTGTTTCAACACCATCCCACCTGAAAATTATCTGTGCAAGGAAGAAATTTGTTGTGTTGGTCTCTGTCAGTGTGTGAGTTGTGGTTATGGTTGTATATAAAGAGAGAAATGTAGAGGGTATTTGAGAGAGAGAGGGGCAAGGGTAATTTAGTTATTTAATTACTTTGATATTTTATAATTAAAATTAATAAAACAGTGAAGGGTAAAATAGATTTTTCACATGATTTTAGGATCTGTTTGGATTGCAAATCTAATAAGGGGGTGTCATTGTCCAAAAATAGAGTAAGTTGTGTCAATGTTAGGGATGGCAATTTCTTCCGACCCGCCCCCGCCCCAAATGGGGTGGATTTAGTGGCCCTTAAATGGGTTTGGGGCTGGTATGATAAAATAATTGAAAACCCGAAATAGGTTTGAGGCGAGGACAAATTTTAGTAATGACCCTGTCCCGACCCTACCCCTATTATATATAAAATATATATTTATATTTTTAAGACTATTATTATTTTATTGGAAGTGTCTGTTAATATATTAATATTCAATACTTGATAATTTAAAAGTTAAGCCAACTTATTTATCAGTATAATTTGAGTATATTAGGCTAGTTTTTATTTTTATTTTTATTTTTTATTACATAATAAAAGTGGCATAACTCGGCCCACCTCCGCCGCACCCCACAATTAAACGGAGTGCATGGGACGGAGTCGGTATTTTGTCTATCGAAGTAGGAGTAGAGATAGTACAACAATTACAAATTCGTTCCGGAGTAGGGGCGGAATTGATATAATAAATATTCTAACAGAATGGAGTAGAATTTAGCCAACTCCGCCCCAACTCTATCTCGTTGCCATTCCTAATTTGTGTATCCTTTTGACAAATTTTAGAGAATATTGCTGTACTTTACCCTCTATAAAATTTGAGAGACCAATAAAACCCTATTAAGGTGTCAAATTAGTACAAGTTGTTTTAATGTGGTGATTAATATTGGGGTTTAGGTTCTGATGGAGTGATTGCTACGCAAGGCCTTGACGGTTGGAAAGTTGCCATCAACACAGCTTTACGTGGTTACTTTTGACCAGACAGAATCCAAACCAACTACGGTTGAGTTGAGATCTTAACATCTAAGTCCAGAACTGGGTCCCACGTGAAAATAACTGGATCTTGGCACAATAATGAGTATTAGGGTAAGAACCCGTCTAAACCAACTTATTTACTAATTGGTAGTAATTAATTTGGTAATATATGAATTACGTTGCAATCATACTGTGAAGCGCTGGCAATGATAAATCTTTAAAAATATAGACCAATATTAAAGCTATATATTAGAATAATACTTCATAGATCATCAAGTGCCAGGTATATATATATATATAGAAAAATATGACATATGTGCATTCTATTATTGATCTAATCCAAATCAGTACGTCATAAAAAACGCACCCTCCTTCCTCCTCATCAACAAGTGTCCTTTCTTAAGAGACAGAACGGAACTTGAAGTGTAAGAGACTCAACAAGAATACATGAACAGAGTAATATCTCTGTCCAGTAATGGTAGTAGAGATCACATGAAGTGGTAACAGAGTAATTGAAATGTTTTTAGTAGTTTCTCACTTAATAGTCTCAAAGAAAATAAAAAAATGAAAATAATAATAATAATAATAATAATAATCAGAATTTCCATTCTAAAAAAAGCAAATCTTGTTATTCAAAAATCAATCTGTAAGTAACAACAGTAGTTTGAAGATTAAGAACCATAGGTACAAAGCAGTCAACAAACTAAAATTTTCTCTGGCTTGTTGGTCCTTTTTTAACATCAAATTAAAGTGATGATTTTTTCAGCATTACTTAAGAAGAAAGTCACTCGATAGTCTAAATAATTGAGGGTTTTTTTTATAATAAAATTATTATTTTATTTTTTTAGCAAATCGACCAATTTTGTTTAGATTATTATTAATTTTTTTTTCTCTCGGCTTAGATGTTAACTAGTGAGATCATGATATAATTTCTTGGTATTTATGATATATCTAATTTACTATATTTCTCTATATGTGCTCCTACTAAATACGTAGCAAAAAAAAAAAACATTTGATCAATGAAAATCAAATCCATTGGATGATTTCCGTTACAGTTGTAATGGTTACCAGGTGTATCTTACTAAAAACAATTGTGCTTAAATTAATTAAAACTAGGAAATCAAATATTCACTAAATGAATTTGTTACCTTCTCTTTCTGTTAAAAGAATTCATAACACCCTTAATTGGCATAAATTGTTAGCAAAACTTATTATTTATATAGCCCACCAAACATGGCCATGAGATAATTATTCTTCCCATTTTCTTGAAAATGATTGGGATTATAATTTTAAAACTAATTAAAAATAATAATTTTTCTTCTTCTTGAAATTAAAGGAGGATTACCTTAAGCCACGTTTGGAAACAATGAGCTTTTTAATGATATGTAATGTAATTTGCATTAAAAAAAAAAAATTAGAAAGAATAATTTTGTTAGTAAACATCTGAATGAGATGAGACTGCAATACACACACACACACACACACACACTACACATACGTTTTTTGGCACAACTTCTATTTCTACGTACCAACCACCTTTTACCTAGCTCTCGGTTGCATCACCAATCTCTCTACCTCTCTGCCATCTTCCTTTAAACAGAGTGTTTCTCATCTATCACATAGTTCCTCCAATTTTGGATCATATATATATAATTATATATATACATACATATATATACACAAAGATTATATATAGAATAATGGGAGAAGAGAAACCAAAGAAAGTTGATTCCGAAACCACTTCCCAAGAGAACCATAGCCATGTTAAACAAGAAAATTCCTCAAACGACGTTGCGTCGGAGAAAAGTCTCGTTCCATTTCCCGACGAGAAGGTCTCTCACTCCAAATCCCCTGCAACTGTTGAAAGTAACACCTCTCTCTCTCTAAATTCTCTGTCCTCTCTCTCTCTCTAAATGATTAATTTCTTGAAAATCTGCAATTGTTTAAGAATTTCTGGTTTATGACAGAGGTTGTAGATCCTGCTACTGAGAAAAGTTCTAGTGATTTACTTGATAGAGGTAATATGTATAAATAATTTGTTCCATAAGTGTGTGCGTGTGTGTATATATATTTATATTCGGATATTCATATTCCTAAGATAATCACAAATTATATGAATAAATGAATTTTTGAATTTTCAGATGCAGTGCTTGCAAAGGTCGAAACAGAGAAGAGATTGGCTTTAATTAAAGCATGGGAAGAAAGTGAAAAAACAAAAGCAGAGAACAAGTATGATTTGTCTTTTCTCGTTTGCCCTTCTGAAATTATTTTCTTCTTCTTGTTGTCTATGGTTTATATATATCAATAATTAGAAATAACAATTACATACTAGGAAGATATATTTTATCGATTTCTGTATCTAGTGAGTGCCATGTATCTCAATTCTTACTAAATTTAACATACAAGGTAGAAAAATAAAAGGTACTCTTATAAATTAAAACCATTTTTTTTCCCTGATGACCAATTCCTAATTGCAGCTTATATCATGTCCATTGTAATAACACACAAATTGTTCTGTTGAATTCTAAAATGTTTTTGTATTGAATTATATGTTGTTGAACCATTTAATTAAAATGAAATGCTAAAACTTCAAAATTAGCTTTTGATTTCTTGACAAATTTTTATGCTTTGATTATTGCAACTTAATATATAATTAAACTATTGATCAGAGCATATAAAAAATTGTCCACCATTGGAGCATGGGAGAATAGTAAAAAGGCATCGGTAGAGGCTCAGCTGAAGATGATTGAGGTATTCAATTATTTTATTATTTTTTTTTTTTGCTTCTCTTAAACAGACTGTCTCCCAAAAATAATGATGTTAGTTCATTTTTCACACTTTTTTGGCTTATTGTTTTGTGAACAAAAAATAATTATGTATATATATTGGTGTTTAAATTTAAAAGTTTTCTTTCTAGAAAAAGATGTAAAAGATGTAACATTATTGTTTATGTCTTTCTAGAAAATTATATAATTTTAGAAGGTGACCTTTGAGATTATAAACACGAACTGTGAAACGCACATTAAAAAGATATAAATATGATGATTCCTTCTATTTTTTTTTAATAGAAAAGATATAATTAATTATTTATATATTTTTTTAGATAAGAGGTAACTATTCTAGAAGGTCTCCTTTCAAGTTATAAATACAAACTAATATGAATCCTCATTACAAAAATACAAACCTATAACCTTCCTAAAAAAAATTAAATACAAACCTATAATCCTTCTTTCACTTTTTTCTTATAATACTCTTCTCACAAATGACTCTGTTTTATTGTGTTTCAGTTTCCTATTATATTAGTATTCTCTATCATACCATATAGTTTTCATATTTATGAACTATAAGTGTAATGAAAGATATGTACATATTCAAAATAGAACTTACATCAGCTATGCATTAGAAAAGAAATGATATGTAACAGCATAAAATACAAAAACAATAGATGGATGAATGAATAGTAGTACTAGTAACCCATCATCATGATTAATGCAAAGTTTTAAGAATTGAAAATTAAAAAATTATACAAAAATTTATTTGGTTTATAGTTTTTGTAAGCAAGAATGGAAAAGGAATTCTAAAAATTTAAATAAAAAAATTCAAATAAAAAAAAGTTATTTTAAGAAAATTGTCTTTTATAGTTCTCTAAAAACAGTTTTCATAAAATTGATCCACAAATTGAATGATTTGATAAGGATCATACTAGACGTATGGATATACCTGGACATTGGGCCAAGTGTTACTTGATTCACAAAAACTAGAGTTTTGTAATTTGAATCACCCAGCTTATATGAAAATTATGGTTTAAACATAAAGTTGAACCTATAGAATTTAAACCATCTTCTCCATACGCTACTTAATTTAATTTGTTTGAATAATGTTATGATGAAAGTGGTGATATGAGCAGGAAAAAATCGAAAAGAAGAAAGCAGAATATGCAGAAAAGATGAATAACAAGATAGCTGGAATCCACAAGGCAGGGGAAGAAAAGAGAGCAATGGTTGAAGCCAAACGAGGAGAGGATTTTCTCAAGGTGGAAGAAACAGCTGCAAAATTCCGTGCAGCTGGCATTACACCAAAGAAATTGTTTGGATGCTTTAGTTTCTTTCAGATTTAATCTGGTGTTGTTTTTGGTGTGTATATTGTGATAGTCCTTTTTGTGAGCACAATGTCTAAACTGTTATATTAAGTACAAAACTTTATCTTTTATGCCTCTATCAGGTGGCTGTCCTTTTCTTCTTCAACATTGAACATTGTTCTCGAATATCAACAGATTTGTATGAACTCTTGCCAAAGTATTTCAGGCTGCCTAATTGGTGATTTGTTTTAGCCTTAATAACTGCTTGTACTGTTAACCACACTACTTACCAACTGGAAGCAGGGAGAGGCTTCTTGAGACACAAAGCTTGGGGACTTTTCTACGTCTACTCTGTGTTTTTATATGTTCTCAGGTTCTGGCATTTATTTTCCCGACCTGGGCCTGTACATTTTGTATATTGTATATATTCAATCTGTAGTTGTTCAAGGTCGGAGGACAAAATAGTGCAGGTTGTAATTATGGTTTCCGGCAAAACCGAACCGAGTCATTCTTTGAATGTTTGCAAACCAGCCAACCGATCTATCAAACACCTGAGAAAAAGGGCAACACCGATGATAATCCAAACATAAGATCTCTGAAAGCACTAATAACTAAACCCAGTTTAATATGTTGACTGCACGGAGCACGAATCCAAAAAGCATATCTTTCAAACATCAATTATCCCGAAATCCTAAAAATATCATCAAACCAGAGAAAAAGAGAGGAGGGAGGGAAAATAAAAAGGACATCATCATTTCATTAAGTACACAGCTTCAATAACAGCATTCGAGTCTCCAAGTGCTCTGAATAATATCCATCTTTCTCTCAAGACTCCGTAATTCTTGAAATGGTTGCCTCGTTGGATTGTGTTCCACTTGTTTTCTTCCTCTCTCCTCCCGGGGGTAGGAAATAAAGTACGACATCAGCCCTGTGAGTAGGATTGTTTAGATTGGGAACAGGGTTACGTATGATGGCATGCAACAGCCCCGTACATTCGCAGCCTTGGATACCAGACACATAAATCACATTATAGCAAGAGAATGCTGACAGATGTTTGCTTTACCTTTTTTTTACTCACCATTGTCTAACAGCAAGATTACTCACAGATCACCTACAGTAAATAGATTGATCTATAAAGGGAGGAATTTGTTTAATTTCAGTTCCAAGCTCTTGCTCTATCCTGTACCTGAAAGACAGCACAAAATTTATGTGACGGAGGGCTAAAATCTGAACCAATACTATATCTAACCAGCAGAGAAGTTGCACTTCCTAAAGGTCGGGTAACCAGATACATACAAATTAAAGCGGTCCTCATAAGTGATTAGATTCACAGCCAAACCAAGGTGTCCAAACCTCCCTGATCGGCCAACCTGAGAGGAGAAACTGACAACTCATTAAGGAACAAAACACTCCACACTGTCACTAATTTAAGAATGAATTCAACATACCCTGTGCAGATATGTTTCTGCGTTCCTAGGAAAATCAAAATTTACGACGACATTGACGGCTTGAATGTCTATTCCCCTTGTAAACAGATCTGTCAACATAAAAAATAAAAAATAAAAATAAGGGAAAAAAAACTTCAAGAAATTTAGCATTTGCAATGCATCAGATAATCCGGTATTATTTTCCTACAATGGACAATCGTGACTAGTGTAAAAATCACATAATAAATTCCAACAACCTTGACCAAATTAAAGGGTATCTCTCAGGCAATATGTTTATTTAATCTTGTTGCAGTGCATATGGATTTTTTTGCCACAAGGAACTGGATTTTTCTGTACTCTTTTCCTGGGACCACTATCCTATGTATGCTGCAAAGTGGTCGGGTCCAACCCAACCTGAGCCTAAACTCGTCTTTGGGTGGGCTTGGGCAACTCTTTTATAACTCAGGTTGGCTTGGGTGGAAAATTTTCAACCTGACCTCGATTCAATTTGGGTTGATCATGGACAAAGTCACAAAGGTGACAGGCAACTCGGATCTAACTAATGCCCAATCTGTACCATTATTATTAAATATTTGTTTTTTATATCATTATATTGTTTGGTTGTCTAAAATTGTAATTGTTTTTAAATTGTTGGAATGTTCAGGGGGATGTTTTCTTGTTGCAAAGGGATACAATGTTCACGAGTATTTATATCAGTGCGATTGGCTTGGGTAGAATGTTCTCTTCTTTTTTAATTGTATTTGAAAGAGCTGGTGGAAAAGGGATCAAGAGCATACCAGTACAAACCAGATTTCTGCATGCACCATTGCGAAAGTCATGAAATACCCTGTTGCGGTGATCTTGCAGCATCTTAGCATGAATATAAAAGCAAGAATACCCCAGCTCTGTAATTTTTTTGGCAAGCAATTCCACCCGATTCACAGAATTGCAGAAAATAATTGATTGGTTGATTTGCAGCTGTAAATAGAGAATCAATTGCATGAAATTCATAGACAGAAGAACTGGTAATTAAATGTTTCAGTTGTGGTCAAACCTTTGAGAAAAGAGTGTTCAGGCAGTGAAGCTTCTGTCTTTCTTCTACAAAAGCATAATATTGTGTAATACCCTTGAGAGTAAGCTCATCCATGAGATTAATAACATAAGGTTTCTGCAAAAATCTGTCTTTGAAATCTTTGACAGTCACGGGAAATGTAGCTGAAAACATCAAAATTTGCCGACTCTCAGGAAGAAAATGTATCAACTGCTCCACTGAAGGTTGAAACTCCGGGGACAAAAGCTTATCAGCCTGTGAGACGTAAAGACATGCATGTAAAACTCTCACAAAGACAATAAAAAAGCACATGCAATAATTTTCAACCATGGCAAATGGCTATATAGAACTCCTGAAATTATCAACAATGAATTATTGAAACTCAGACCAAAGAAAAAAGACGTCTTTAAAGCAGTAACTGCAAGTCAGTGAATTGAAAGAAAATGATTGCCGAGCTAAATGCTCCATGGCAAAGTATATTTTCTTCATTAATGCTTTGAACCATATTCATCCAACAAAATGGGTAAAAACAGGAGAAACATAAAGCAAAAATATGGCATGATAGATAAATATTCTCATAGTATGAACAGATACGATATATAAATATACCAGTCAAGATACCTCATCCATAACAAGCATCATACAATCTTTCAAAATGCAAATTCCTTTTCTGGAAAGATCTAGTATTCTTCCAGGAGTCCCAACGAGCAAATGGACAGGTTGATACAATCGCATGATATCATCCCTCAAACTAGTTCCCCCCGTGGTGACCATGACTTGAATCTTCAAATGCTTCCCAAGTTCCTTACAAACTTGTGATGTCTGAAGAGCCAACTCTCTAGTGGGTACAAGTATGACAACTGCATTTATTTTGAAAACATAAATCATAAATAAGCAAGAAAATAATAGCAAAAATCATATTGCATCAAGTATAGTGAACTTAAATCCACAGACCATTGTCAATGTGATTGACATCGTCAATGAATGAAAGCAGACACTGTGTGCAAATATAAAGATTTAAATCTGTTTCGAGTCTTCCCCACCCACTGACAGACATAAGCAGGAGTCAGGACTGGGTAATAGCATTTTAATGTGTAGCATCTGATGCATGCACATCAGTATTCTCAGTAAAGGGAACAATAAAATAAAATAAAAGGCTAAAAGAGGTTTCTCCTTGTTGTTTTAGTGAAGCCTGGATGGTGAAGTTGAGATTGAAGATTTTCAATGTGTCAATTACTCCCCTGAAAGCAGTAAAAGGGAGACTTATCAAATCAAATAAAATAAATATATAAATGGGTGGGGAGACGAAGGTTGTGTATAACATGAATTATGCCGCTAATAAAGGAATTTTTCAACACTATTTAAAAGGTTTGTACTGTCAGATGGTAGGGATGATAAAATTGGGCTTGCATACCTCAAAAGTTCAAAAAAAAAAAATGATTTTTAATGTGAATTTCACCACTAGGTTAATTATACTTTAGATAGGCACATAAATATCGCGCATTACCCTACATTTTATGCTATTACATTTCCAAGTAGAATAGTCACATGAATAAATGCAATTTGATTGTGAAGAAACTTCTGATGGCGTCAAATCTATAAACTTCTTCCCATATGGTATACAAATGTAGCAAATCTTCCCTGTTCACTTTATGCTCAAGGAGCTTGCTAGATCATGTTAAAGGCAGGGTTAAAAAAACTCTATACTTAAACTCAATACGAATATGAGTTATCTCTTACCACTATGGGTTCCTAATAAAACTTTCCCCTTCCCATGACCACTTCTCTACTTACTTAAAGGGGACATTGAGTTGTGCGCGAATATTGTGCATATCTATATTCAGAATATCTTATATCTTCATTTAATCTTAAAATTATTTTAATAACCAATATTAACACACTAATAACAAAAATTTCACCAACAGGCCTGTGGCCTAGCGGTACAAGGCTCCTACCTCCCAAAGGGAGGTCAGGAGTTCGAACCTCAGGAGGCAGTGTGTGTGAGTCCCAGCTAGGAAAAAAAATAATAATAACAAAAATTTCGGGCATATGATATAATAATCATCATCATCCTTGTCTTTATCCCAAACGAATAGGGTCAGCAACATGAATTCTCGACTTCCATTATATTCCCATTACACGCTCTGTAACTCATATTTAATTTTTCCAAAGTCATTTTTAATTACTTTATCCCATGTTAGTTTGGCTGGTCTCACTGCTTATTGCCTTTTATGAAAAATACAATATCCTTTCTTACCGGTGCAATGGTGGGTCTACCCGCTACATGTCCATACCACCACTTAAGCCTTTATTACTAATAGGCGTTATTTCTAACCTCTCACACTTTACTTAGTAAATTTAACTCTTCTGGTCACTCTCCTAACATTCAACTCAACATTCTCATTCAGTTACATGAATGCGTTGGTCTTGGTTTTTTTTTTTTTCAATCTCCAACACTCTGCCTTGTATAAGATAGTTGGCCTAATGATTGTCCTATAAAATTTTCCTTTTAAATTTTTTGGAATTTTTATCACATAATATATCACTAGCCTGTCTCCATTTTGTCCATCCTACTTCAATCATGCTAGTAATATATCATTTATTTCTCCTTTTTTCTTATATCAAAGATCCTAGGTATCAAAAATGATTAATTTCAGTAACCCTTTGATCTTGGACTGCTGTGGTTCTATACTTCAATTATTACATTTCAATACTTATTAAATTTACATTCCATATAATCTAAATTAGTCTTACAGATCTATCATCAGCCAAAAGCGTGCACCATGGTAGTTCAAACTTATATAGAGAAATCTAACTTATATGGTACAAACTCGAGTCTTTGTCTCGTTATATATATCCAACATATGAAATATAAAAAAATAAAAATAAAAATAAAATAAAACCACAATCAATAATGCATGTCAATGGTAGTTCAAATCCGAACACTGCCATTCAAAGATTTAAACTTGAAAACACAAAGCATCAGTAACAAACAATCTACTTGTTAGAAAAGTCAAATGCTAGAAGCAAAATTTAAGGCTTGCTTGTACTTTCGATATAGTCAAGTAGTTGCTTCTATTCAGCGAGCCACCCAAGTTGTCAAAAAATAAAGGTGGAACTCGTTTCTCTTCAAGTTATTCATTCATTAATTAATTGACTTGGTCTTTTACTCAGTTAATTTAAACAAAAAGCAACAAACGGGAAGAATATCTTCTAAATCAATGCCCAAACAAGGGTTAACCACATGCATTTTGCAGTGCATATTTTTTCAGGACTAATGTAATTAGTATAGACATTTTTGCTACCCTACATAGCACCATTTACTCAGTTACAGCCATGATGCATTTCAAACTTTTCTTTCTAGGGGGGATTAAAAATATCCAGTTATCAATCTTTTATATAAGTTGAGCCTAAAACATTATTCTTCTTAGGGCTGCAAACAAGCCAAGCTTTCGATGAATAGCTCGGGCTCGGCTCGCTAAGAGCTCGGTTCATGTTCATTTGATTAATAAATGAATCGAGCCCAAACAAGTTTTAGATGCTTGATTAATAAACAAGCCAATCTCAAACACACCCCATATCAACTCGTTAGTCTGTGAACAAACTCGTTAATAGGCTCGTTTTGAGCTCATGAATATGTGTATATATATATAGTTATATAAAATAGATATAATTTTATAACTACGAGTCCAAGCCCATAAATTGGGTTTCCTAAAAACCATTTATTTTCGATTATATTCATAAATAAACCCTGCCCAAACCAGTCCAACGCAACTATGTTTATTTATTTCAACCCTATTAAACTTAAAACAGCCTATGCCCATGCCCATGGCCACAGCCCATCTAACCATCAGACACAGCCCATTTTGCAACTAAATAACCCAAATTGCCAATCATTCTCTTCTTCAGTCAGACATTCCCGCGACCTAACCTGCACATTCCCAAGCAGCAGAATCAGACATCGACAGTACCTACAATGCGTAACACAAACCGGTAACCACCAGTCGGCGACCAAAACACCGACAACACTCCTTCACAATAGCAAGCAATTAATTTCCCTGTAGGTTACTGTATATCTTTTCCATTTTCTTTGTGTTTTTGCAAATTTCTCTCATCTTTCTATGCTTTCTGCTCTTATATATGTATACACATATTGTATGCTTTGATTTCCAGGTAGGTTACTGAATATCTCTTCATTTTTCTCTGTTACTGCAAATTTCTAACTCTTTCTCTCTCCCCTTTCTGCTCTTATATATGCATACATATATTGTTGTTTACAATCAATCCGTGCTCGATTATATTCGAACATTGTCAAACCGAACTCAATCATTGTTTGGAAGAGCTTGATCGAACACGAGTAGGGTTGTAAATGAGCCAAGCCGAGCTGAGTAGTGGGCTGTTCGAGCTCGGCTTGGCTGTGCAGCAAAGATGTTTGAGCTCGAGCCGAGCTCTGATATTAGTGCTCGAGCCCGGCTCAGAATTGTTCCCGAGCTATTCGAGCCAAGCTTTGAGCTCCTTAACATATCAGTAGCAGAGTGTATACATAGATATATGTTACGGAATATACAAGTTTACACAGAAATATACACACACACACATTACACACAGATGCATTCAAGAAAAAAAGAACAATATTACAGTTATCTCCCAGAAAATTATATATAGCCGATCTCGAAATCATCATGATGCAGTTTCCATCTCCTCTTGAGTCTTGATTATGAAAGAGAACAGAAGAGTGTGTGCAAGACAGAGTAGAACTGTGTGTGAGAAAGAACTGGTAGGCGTCTGTCTGAGAGGCGCTGTAATTGAAAGAGGTAAAGAAGAGGAATGAGATTTGGTTAGGTTAGGGTTTATATGTGTGTGTGTCTATATGGGCTTGTGGATTTATTCCTTTATGGGCCTAAAGTTGGGCTAAGACCTAAGAGCTAAACTAAATTAATATTTTTCTTTATAATGGGCCTAATATATGAATGAACATTATGTATTAAATTAAATGGATTTTCACTTTCAACTATATATTAGTATGTGTGTTTATTTATATTTATTTATTTGCTTGCGAACACATTAACAAGCTTTGTTCACGAACACAAACGAGCCAAGTAGGGGAGTGTTTGAGCTTGGCTCGTTTATTAATCGAGCTTGAAAATTTTGTTTGAGCTTGGTTCATTTATTAAACAAACGAACACAAACCGAGCTGTTAGCGAGCCGAGCTCGAGCTGTTCGTCAAAAGCTTGGTTGATTTACAGCCCTAAACATGAGCCGAGCTCGGACACTCCCTTGAGTTTGATGAGTCAAGCCCGAACACTCCAAAGCTCGGCTCGGCTCGTTTATAGCCCTGATTCTTCCTATATATACAAAACATACATGGTAGCAATCACATGGTTAATACAAATACCTTGAATAACATTGTTATCTGGATCAATCTTTTCCAGTGCAGGAATGCAAAATGCAGCTGTTTTACCAGTGCCATTTTTAGCTCTGGCAAGAATATCACTTCCAGTCAAAGCAATTGGGATACTTTCTTCCTGGATGGGAGAAGGTTTTTCAAACCCCTTCTCATATATTCCCATGAGCAGCTCTCGTTGCAGGAAGTAGTCTTCAAAATCATTTCCTTTTGTTGCAGTGACATCCTGTATAAGAACAAAAAAATTTAATCCAAATAGAACATGCAGAGAAGTAGAGTTAATTCGGTTTCCTACTAAGTGATACTTGTATGAAATCACAATCCATAAACATAAAAAACAAAGTAACATGAAGCATATTGTAGATGTCTCAATAAAAGAAATAAAAGATAGTAGAAAATAAATAAAGGATAAAAGGAAGAAAGAATCAGAATAAGAGTAGCTTTCGAGTATTTGTCTGTTATTCCACTTAAGAGGTTACCAACTAACCATGAGTTTAGCCCTATCCCTTATTGCTGGAGCGTGTATCCCTGAATTAGTGTGCATGTTATCTATTGACCTTGGCAAATATTTTGTCTGGAAACTGTTATCCTTAAAAGCAATATTAATTACAAGCTATAAACACGACAGTCTTTAGCAACTAAAAGGAAGATGCACTGGCTGAGATTCCATTGGAGGTTTTATGGCAAGCAAAGTTAAGAAAGCACCACAGCCTAAAAAAACACGATGTAAAAATCCATTACACATAATTCAATCACGTAACTTTAGAGCAATCTACCATAGGCCAATGACACAGAAAAATTACTCAAGTTTTATAGATCAATGCATAAATATCCATCAATAATCTTCTAACATGCAAAAATATCAATTTCTATATACCTCCCACAATCAAGTAAGAGTACACATATTCCCCAAACACCCTCTGAAGCTTGAAGTGTGTACGGTGGACATATTTGAAATGACCCAAATAGTTGAAAATCATCGGGATTGATAATGAAATCCACAATTGAAGATCTACGGATTAATATTTCACCACGAGATATGAACAAAAGATTACAAGGAATTGGTGGAGGTGATTGGTTTAGTGCGGTAATAAAGGGGGCCAACCATGTGACTGAAGAGGTATTGGTTGCTAACCAATTTAGCTTTTCGTAAAACAGCTTAACATAACAAGAGTAATGGTTTACAGACTCTGTACACAATATAATGATATAATAAAGTATGATTAAATAATATAATACACAATGGATCCACCCAAATCTTTGAATAGCAAACAACTCTTTCTTTCTCTACAAATGAAATACGGAGTATAAAATAATCCTATTCTATACCAGTGGTAACTAAAGCGAGGGCTCAAATGGATGGAGAATCTCTTCACCACATCACGCCTCGACTTCATGATTGGCAATCACCATCACCTCATTCACAGCTGTTTATGATTTTTCTCAGCTTCTGTTATTTGATAACTTGATGGGTTACAACTTTGACGGTGATCTGACTTTTGGGAGAGCTACACACAGTGTTTGAAACAGAGAGGAACTGATTGGAGACAGAGCTAGAGATTTACGACAATTTTATTGGAGTATTAGAAGGCCGTTTTTAGACGTTAGCTGTATAGTTGAGTTTCATACGGCTGTAAACAATAATACGAGTATTTATCCATATTATTCCAGGCTGAACAGCAGACGGGCATGTTTTTAGATAGTTCGTACATACATACACAAATTATATGCATACAATACACGTATTAACTAACTAGGATATACACAAACACACACACACACACACATATATACGACTCTAACAAATCAAAATCAGAAAATTTTGGTTTTTCTAACAAATTAATCGTTTCTATAACCAATATATCTCTTCTTCTTCACACAATCTATCAATAATGTAACAGATCAAAATCAAAACAAGAAATTTTAATAAAACCCACCATGGCTTTTCTGCAAAAAAAGGCGTAATCCACTGTCTCGTTCCCCAGAAAACTGGAGCAAAGAAGAATAAAAATTCCATGTTCTACATTTCTGCTCTTTAATTCCTATCGTAAATCTTAACTCAAAACAAAAATAGCACAGTACCTTGGTAATTGAGTTCAGATTTTCGTTACTTGCAAAACCAAAGCATCAGATAATAATGAATCTTTCCTTTTATTTCTCACCGATAAACAGCCTCAGAATAAGGTTTAAAGAAGGAAACAAAAATGTAGACCACGCAGTTGAATAAAACAATGATAAATCAACAACTCCACAAATTACTTCACAAATCAAGCTGTCCCCAACGCGAATCAACCTGAAATCATTAACACAGTCCGAATCGCAACCCCAACGCCACACCTAATCTTCAACTCAAGTCATCATCACATTACACAGCGACATGTACAGACCGTAGGACGCGACAAGCTGCCGCGGAGGAGAAATTTCTGCTATATCAGAGCTGCACTTGTGATGCTGGTAACAACATGTGGTTTGACGATGCTTCTATGTACTTGATTTGTAGAGAGATAGAGAGAGAATGGTGGAGAAAGAGGGGCGGTGGAGAGAGAAAGTGTGCAACGAGGGTGGTGTTCGAGGAGAGAGCAAGGGGGAGTGTAATACAATATATATGTTTACCAGATGTATATAAAATCTAAAAATTATATAAATTTTGTGTTGAAATTTTATTAATATATTACATATATTTTATACAGGGTCAGTATTATAATAAATGTGTTTTAAATACATATATTTTATATAATTTGATAAATTATATAAATCAAAATATTACATAATATATTTAGTATTAAATAATTTAATAATATTATTATTAGTTATTTGTAATGAACTGCAAATAGGTAAGGATATTTTTGTCCAAAACACCATGGTTTACTTGGTCATTCTAAATGATTAATAAGGTTAGTTTTGTCATTTCATATCACATAAGGGTATTTAAGGTAATTCAATTTATTTTTTAGCTGACTTTTAACTTGGTTAACAGTCAACATACGGCAGGGGGTGTCGGACTAAAGTCCAACAAACTTCAGGGGAGGTTGACAAAAAAAAATTCACTAGTTTAATCTAAGTAATAAAGGCAAACCTCAAGAGAGGTTAGAGTAATTTACCCAATTCAGAAATAGCCAAAAAGAAACCATAAAATTGTAACTTCTCACAATGATAGTATGATACCTCCTAACAACCCTTACTGTAAAACTCAAGTAGAGTTTTAGCAATTACATTAAAACACTATTGATGTTAATCTAAACAAACAAAAGACTCAAAATGGAATTTTTTTTTTTTTTTTTTTTTTTTTTTTTAAGTACTAATTAAATAAAAAGGCGTTCAAGAGGGGAACGCGTCCCTTATACAAAAGTGGAACTGAGGTCTAAGGCCCCAAAAAATCCAAAAAAAAATTATTAAATCATCATAAGAGGAATAGGACTTCCTCTTCATGTAATTGAGAAGAGAGTGAATGATGTGAAGTCTCAGCATCGTCGTGGACAACTTTTGCCCTTCGAACATTCTACTATTCCTCTCCTTCCAATCATATTCATATCCTTGGCAAGTGGCTTTGGAGGTTCGGCAACAAAAGACATAGATTATGGAGGAAGGTCATTTCGTGTCGCTTTGGGGAGGAGAGGGGGGTGGTCAGCTAGGCCAGTCAGGTCTGCTGTCAGTGTGGGGGGGTGGCGTTCCATCGGGAAGGGATGGGATGACTTCTCTAAACGTATTAGATTTAGAGTTCGGGATGGAAGGGATGTCCGGTTTTGGGAGGATTCCTGGTGTGAGGATAGCCCTTTGTCTCTTTTGTTCCCAAGGCGGTTCAGGATTGTTGTTGACAAACATGCTATGGTTGTTGACTGCTATTGTCTTCATAGCGATAGTTTATCTTGGGATGTGCAGTTTCGGCGATCCTTTCAGGATTGGGAGTTGGATGATGTCACTGGTTTTTCGGCTCTCTTGTATAGACAGGCGATGGAAGGCACTGGCGCAGATTCCTCGACTTGGGTGCCTTCTGCGCAGGGGATGTTTCAGGTCCGGTCCTTCCTTTTCTGTCTCTTTGGGTTTCATAGTACTACATTCCCGTGGAAGACGGTGTGGCTGTCAAAGGCACCTCTTAGGGTAGCCTTTTTTGTGTGGATCGCAGCTTGGGTTAAGATTCTAACTTTGGACAATTTGAGGAAGATAAGACATATCATTATCAATCGGTGCTGTCTTTGCATGATTGATGGAGATTCCGTAAATCACCTTCTGCTGCATTGTCCTGTGGCCCATGACTGTTGGAGTCTTATTTTTGGTCTGTTTGGTGTCCATTGGGCCATGCCCCGGACCACTAGGGAGTTGAAGGACATTTGGAGGGGCCAATGGGTGGGGGTGCATGCTAGAGATTTTTGGAGGGTGACTCCCCTTTGTGTTTGGTGGAGTCTTTGGAAAGAGAGGAATAGAAGATCTTTTGATGGACAGAAGTCCTCCATTGGGGCGTTGAAATTTTCTATTATTTGTACCCTTTTTTGTTTGGGCTGGGGGAGAAATTATCCATCTATTGTGGAAATTGTGGATTTTTTGGGCTCTTTGAGCTCTTAGGTTTTTTCCACTTTCTTTTTTCTGGTTTGTGTACAGCTCTTGGGACGCGTTCCCCTTTTGAACGCTTTCTAATACATTTTACTTATTAAAAAAATATATTCTAATAAAATGGAAAATTTTATTTTAATCATATTGGAAATAAGAAAACAATCATATTCTATAATGAATACAAGGATATACATTCTGAACCACGAGGCAGCCACCATACACAGCCATGAGGCTACCTCACAAAGGCCTCACATTATGGGTCATATCACACGAAGAATTTAAGCCTCTGTCATAACAATGGATTTTGGTGCATAGGCCCCAGGCGTTACAGATAATATCTAGTTTTTCCACTTAATGTTAATATAATAGATAAAAATATAACAACTACTAAAGGGAGAACTGAGAAGGAAGAGAGAGAGAAAGAGGCCACCTTCAAGGGGCAGAAGAAGCCTTTCGAAACTTAAAGCGCATTAATTTGCAACCAAAGGGTCATAACGATTGCAACAAGGCACTATTGATAATAGTTATACCACTTATAAGGTACTTGATCCATCATAATACTATGATAAAGGCTACAGAGAAACTAAAGCACAAGATGGTTGAAGCATGCATATTCAAGGCTTTAGTGTTCATGCATTTAAAAAGCTCTGTTACTAAAACATCATATATTATTTACTGCACAGATGAAGAAAAGTATAGAACTTGGACAAGCTCAGCCCGTAAACAGACCTTTACTGTAAGTTCAATAGTTGTGGGTATTCCATTGTTATTGACTCGTATAAGAATAAATCAATTTTCCTTAATAGACACTGAAACAATCTCTCATTAATATATTTAACATGAATACCAATGGAAGTTTCATAATATAGGTCAACCTATGTATAACAATTAATTTGTCTCTTGTACATATACCATTTAAATAAGTAGATTATGAATATTATTGTTAACCACCATCTACACTAAAAGCTTAAGCTATCAGAGAGGGTGTAACTTTAATATTTATATCCTCTAACGCGCCCCCTCACGTGTAGCCTTCTTTTGGTCCAACACATGTTTCAATTTTAATTATCAAGGTGACAGTGAGGTGTCAACTCAGGACCTCGCCTACTCTGATACCATATTAACCACCATCTAATCTAAAAAGCTTAAGGTACTAGAAAGGGTGAAACTTTAATATTTATTTTTTCTAACAATTACAATATGGATGTCTGAGGATCAATGAGAATTAGATGAAGATTAAAAGAAATGAAATACCATATAGGCATGTACGTGATAATAATAAAACAAGGCTAAAGCATATATGCAATACTATAATTTTCGTCTATACCTCTGTCCTGTAACGAGTGTCAGGTGGTGGCATTTTTAACCGTGCCTTCCAGTCTTGGGAGCTGTGTCAAAACCAAGAGAAAGAAATACTTAGTTCAAGAGTATAATAAAATATTTTCATTTGCAACAATTATTATTTAAATGGCATAAAGATGCTTCCAAGCACATACCAGCATTAGTTACAGAAATAATTAAAACAAATGCAAAAGTGATAATCAAGCATGAAAAAGTTCATGTACATCAGTGGCAGAGTGATGACTGAAAATGTAGCATTGTTTATGAAAACCCCTGAATGCTACTGTCTGCAATACAAGGTAATATTTACAACCAAGACTTCAGCACTAGGGGATTTCTAAAGGGGATGTACAGGTACTAGCGGGTGGTAAGAAGAACCCTATCATGACAATTGCCGTACCAAAACATAAGACTCCCTTTTATTCTCAGAATGAGTAAGGGAAAGTAAAATTAATATATATATATATATATATATATATATATATATATCCATTTACGGATTTTTATTTTTTATTCCCTTCGTCACAGGTTTTCCCAGGTTTCCTAACTACTATATAGATAAATGTGGCTTCCTAAAAGTTAAAAAGTTCTATCTGTTCTCTCTTCCAAATATTTTTCACAGTTTCTCAGAACAACAAAAAAATGATATAAATTCTCAACAATTTCTTCCATTTCCTCTCTGGCTTTTGAGTTCCTAACATTGCCTAAAGGACTCATAGCCTGAGTCTTATAGGAAAATAGAGTGCCAATTTTAAAAAAAATCATTCAGCATTCAGTAATGAAAGATTTTGAAGGATGCAAATTCTGTCAAGAATTTCTACAGTGAATCACAAATGAAGGTATGAAGCACTCCAACCTCGAAGGAGATCATAGCATCAAGAAGCACGGCTCGCATGGAACTTCTAAAATGCCAGTCTTTCCTGGGAGTGAATTTATTGAAACTAGAGCTGCCAATTGAACCAAGCAGCTCAAGCTAAGATGAGTAACAGCCAACTCAAGTTTGTTCTTTAGCCTTGCTTAGCTGAGTTTGCAGGTTGTTGAGTCAATTCAAGCTCAGTATGACATGCATTCAGCTTGGTCAATATGCAAGCATGTATATTTTGTACTCTTTGTAATTCCAAAAGGAAACAACAAGATGCAAGCATGTATATTAAACTGAATGGTGTTTAAAGTCATCTCAAGATTTTCAAATTTGGGAAAAGGCCAGAGTATAATAATGACCTGCTACGAGGTAAAGAGAATACTTTTAATCAGAAAGTGGTTTTTAAAATCAGTATTTAAGACGCTATAACTTATCTTCCATTCTTAGTTCTACACTAAAAAAATATAGCCACCTAAATTGGCATTTGGTATTGCTCCTAGTAATTTGTTTGACCAGCAAGAAGGGGAAAAAAAATAATAATAAAGGATAGGCCAGTGCACGAGACTCCCGCCATTGCAGGGTTTGAGGGTGGTCAGTACCTCCTCATGGAGAGACTGTTTCCGATTGTATGACCAGCAAGACAAAAAGCCAATTCGTGGATCCCTAAACCAGCAACAAATATATATCCATCATGCTTTTAAGGTGATCTGTGGAATGCCATGGCTAGCCAAGCAAGAAAAGGACCCACAATTCTTTGGCAGAGCTCAAGCCGAGCCCAAACTCATCAATACTCGGCTCTTGCTTGATCCATTCACCCTTGGATAAAAGAAAACTTCATGCTTTATTTGATATCTCTCAAAGAAATTTTAAAAAAACAGGAGTTTATATTTTGACGAACATGCAAGGGGCATTAATAAGAATCATGCATTTCTGGATCATGATAAATTAATGCACAACAGTTCCTTACAAAGGCAAGGGAACCTATGTACAGAACTTTTAGTACCAATGAACTGCAGACAAAAGAATGAGAAACGATTCTATTTTGCATGCTATCTGGCACGCATTATGTTACACTCGTGGGGGAGGTGACCATCTACTCTCACCTCTTATCCTGAGGTCCGCTACCAAAGGTAAGGGAAAGCTCTATAACCAGCCCAAAATAGGACTTTCATCAGCAGCGGCAGCTGCATCTTGTTTGATTCAATAAATGTTCACATTCCTTTCATAAGCAATAGACTCACCAATTAATGATGTCGCAGTACTAAAAACCACGAACTTGGCATATATGGTGACTAGGATTTCTCCACCTATTCTACACAGAAATAACTTAGCTGTTCCGACAGCCTATACCATTGCAAGTTTAGACCCTGATCGGCTAAGGAAGTGAAATAAATACTATTAAATTAAAAATATACATAAACTTTACTACCAACTATGATTTCACTCAACTTCAAATATGTTTCTTAAGTCTTAGGACAGTTATATCTAGACACTCTACATCCATGTAGAATAACAGAGTCAAAGCTGGAAATGTAAGCAAGGTTTTAGACATCAAATCTAATACTGATTCCAGACTTGGTCAAACTAAAAAGTAAAATTAATGAAGATAAACCAGTATAAAGTTTTAATGGAAAAAAAAAAAAAAAAAAAAAAAAAAATCAGACAACTTTGAAAGCTACAAATTTCAGAAAATACCAGCAAATGAGATTTAAATGCCCAAATATTGATGAAATTGAAGTCAACACAGAGCATAGCATCGGATCAGAGCACTTTTTCTCGTAAGTACACTACTGGACTATACCCATATTTTCACTTAGAACTAGCAATATTCTGATGGAACAAACATTTTCAGAGTATTCACTCATCTTCAATCAATTGTATAATTTCTGCCGAGTTTTCTATTGTAGGAAAATTAGGTTTTACCGTGTCCATCTATTCCCCACAATCATGCATATCAATATGTGCTTGCAAATTAAAACATTGAAAAATGACAATAAAATGCCCCCCCCCCCCCAAAAAAAAAAAAAAAAAACCTAGGGCTTGAGTAGCATACCTCAAATCAGCCGGCTCGTATTGCAGTGTTTTGTCAACTTGATTAACAGTAGAATCAGTAGCGATGACGTCCCTTCTCAGCCATTGTTGTTGTTGTTGTTGTTGTTGACTCTGCACATTTCTCTGGACGTTGTGTTGTTGCGTGTGATGATGAGGGTGATGAGGGTTTCGAGTATGAAAGTTAGGGTTTGAGTAAACATTCCCACCACCACCACCACCGCGACCATTACCGATCCCAGGAGGATACCTTCCTCGCGTATTCATCAGAAGTATCAGCACCACTACCCTCTAAGATCGTTCAATTACAACAAATATATAGAGAGCGAGTTTGTGTTGGAGGGAACCTAAAAAGGGCAGGCTAACGACATTTGGAATTTGGGGATTTGTTTGGAGATTTTTGTAAACCCTAATATGTTGAAAGAAAATTTAAGGATCCAAAGCTCACCAGTGGTTTGGTCAGTTCGATTGCAGAGATTATTTTAGCAGTAAATAATGGAGTTTTATGTTATGTTACTCTCTTCTTCGCACACACACGCTTTAGTTTCGTCAGAATTCAACACTACTTTTTTTTTTTTTGTTAAGAAGGCCTCGCTTTTCAGATTGATGAGTGGCCAATCAAAAGGTTGTTATTGTGTGCAACTGTAAAATTTTAAAGTCCTCTTTTCATAGGGGAAAAATCACATAACCCATGTACTAATTTTTTGGTTCAAAATGCCCCAGTAAAATTAAACAATCCTCTAAACTAACAAAATTCATCAAATTGTCTCGAAATGACAAAATTACCCTTCTAAGTTAATTATAAATTTAAAACTTATAAATCTAATTTCTATTTTTTGGGTTAAATTTCAAAATTGTGCAGATGTATCTTCCCTTACAGATCAAAGTCCCAGACTTTGATCATTCTGAACTTCGGCTCTATGGCACCGATTGGGGCGCCATCATCCTCTCCATCGACACCGACTCCAATGAGTTGCAACAGGAAGAACCAAAATATTGTTGTGAACACTTCCTTCTACGGCGGCGTTGCCACAATCACTAACCCAGTCAAGTAAAAATTTTGATTTGGACCTCTTTGTGCGACTCCGGCAACATTTTCCCTCTGTTTGCTCCTCTTGTAAGTAGCTAGAAACACCCCAAATTGATCGGACTCTGTCTCCGCCTGAATATTCGCCGCCGAAGGACACCCCAACTCACCGATTCCGATTGAAATTCCGACAATTCTTATCGCCGGCGTTTCTAAAATGGGTTCGCCGATAGAGGACGATGTCGTATTGGTCCAGAAAAGAAAGAAACAAGGTGAGCCCCACGGCGATCATCGAATCATTGGAAACCTGAATGCCTTGAACGCTGTCGCGAACATCGCTGACGCTTCGCTGAAGAATCAACCTCGAGAGCCACTAGAGCCACTAATTCGACGCTTGCGAAGTCGCCGACTAAGAATTCATGTGCACCGGCGAACTCGTAGATGAGTCTCTGTATGTCCTTGTGGTCTCTTTCGACACCGTCCGGCAAAGATTGACCGAGAGAGAGTCGTTAAGCCATCTGGTCCCTGGCCGAGAGAGTCGTGATGGCCGCTGCGATCGTCGCAACAGTTGAGAGTGAACGGCGAGATCTAGTTGATCAGAATTACGTCGTCGTCGACAATGGCAACGGATGTTTGGTCAGCGAGAGAGTTGGATATGGCTCTAATCGCCGACGAGGTCGAGGAGTAGTGTCCGATTGACGAGAATTCAGTGTGGATGAGTTTAAGTGTGTTGAAGGAGAATTCTTCCCATACATATGCAAGAATGTAAATTCACACACCAAGTCCAGTGTATATATATGTGTTTGTAGAATCTCTCTAATTTTATGCGAATAAAACTACCTACAATGCTATATTTTCACACAAATTTCCCCCGTGTTCAATTTTTCTTTTCAACCAAACAAGTCAACACAAACAGATCAAACAACAATTACAATCAGAATGCTCTAAATCTAAATCAAAGGAAGATGGAGATGAATATGGGTTTCTGGTGCTTAAAATCAAAGGAAGATGGAGATAAATAGTAGACCCACCAACTCAAGGGTATTTTTATAATCTTACAATAATATTATAAATTTTCAATTTTCAATTAACTTAGAAAGGCAGTTTTGTCATTTCGGGGCAACTTGATGGGTTTTGTTAGTTCATGGGGGTGTTTAATTTTAGTGAAGGCATTTTGAACGAAAAAATTAGTACAGGGAGGTTATGTATAATATATCCCTTTTTTCATAATATATATATTTTTATATATAGCAACGATAATGCAAGTTTAGATATACATATATGTTTTTTTAACTTTCAATAACCAATACTCCGTATAAAGCAGCAGAACAGACTACTCCGCATGGTATTGTTACTTTAGGTTGGTAAATAAAGAATAATAGGAGAGATATCATCCTCTTTTTTTTTGTTTTTTATAGAATTTTTTATCTATTCAAAAATGGGCTGATGAAAAATAGTTTATTATAGAAATTTTAAATTATATATTATTCTAAATTATACAAGTTTTAAATTACAGTACTATCATCTATAAATTACAATAGTATTGATAATATTAGACATAATGGTAAAAATAATTTAAAACTTTATTTTTCTTTTCTCTCATAACGAACATAATAAAGAAAAGAAATGGAAAATGAAATAAAAGTAAAATGAATGAAAAGAAAAATTATTTTATAACATGCATTTGGTTTGCATTAAAATTTATTCAAGAAAATTGTAGAAATATATTAAAAGTTCTAAATTATATATTATCATAAATTAAACAAGTTTTAACTTATAGTAATATCCTTTATGAATTACAATATTATTAATAATATTAGACATAATGATAAATAAATAAATAAATTAACACGTTATCTTTCATTTCTCTCCTAACCAACATAAGGGTTCATTTGGTAAAATTAAAAAATAAAAAATAAAAAATGAAAAAAAGAAAAGGAAAATTTTGAAATTTTTTAGTTGGCGGACATTTTAGTTAACTTTTTGTGTTTATTTAATTTAGGACTCTTCTCCACGCTCACAAAGGAAGGGAGTCAATCAAAACTTCAAAAATAATAATAATAATTATTATTAATAATAAAATTTAAAGAGTCAATTACCATATAGACACACGTAAATACAATTAAAAAATATATATTTTTAAATAGCAAACCCAAATTCTTCATAATTTTAGCATATATATGTATTTGTATGTAATTGGACGCATATACACGCAGGCAAGTAGATATTCATTCATATACTAATATACCATATCAATTTGTATATATATGTGGAATTATTATTATTATTCGCCTTTTTTTTTTTTTTCCTGACTTATTCCTATTGCGTGATGATGTATATTAAGAAAATTGTATATTATTTAGTATTAAACTCATAGGGTTAGTTTTGGTACATAATTTATTTATTTATTATTTTTTTTCACTTTCATGCTATCCAAACTTATAAAATAATATTTTCTCACAAATTTTTCAAAAAAAATAAAAAATCATACTAACCAAATACATAACAGAAATCTCATTTTCTTTCTTTTACTTCATTTTCTTTCCACTTTCCACATCAGTTATGGCTAGCCAAATGGACCCTAATAAATTGTTAGCGTTTTTTATGGATGTCTCATCCATATATTCTTCTCTCCCTTCTATCTAATTTTTTTTCTTTCTTACCGAACAGAGCATGAAAATAAATGAAATGAATTATATTATTATATAAACTTACTCCTTAAATATACAAGTAAGATGACAAAATTAGTTAGAAAAAAAATATTTTATAATTTTCATCTTTCTTTCTGTCTAGTGTTCTCTGAATTCCAAATAGAATTATGTGTTAGGCTATGTGAAGTAGTGGTTCGAATTTCGTTTTGCTGCAGACCTGAGAGTGACTCATTTTCTTCTGCTTGTAAACTATATTTTGGTTTATTACGCTTTGTTTGGATTGATGGAATTGAAAATAAAATAAAAGATAAGGATGGATAACGATTTTCATGTTTAGTTTGTCATTGAGGAGAGAAAAGAAATGATAAGAAGATATTTGGAAGGCATCATTTTAAAAGTGAGGATTTAGGGAGAAATAATAGCAACTAAAGTGAAACTTTCAAAAGAGTACTACCTATTGACCTAGTTAGTATAACGTGCAGTTTCTCAAACGGATAAAAATAATTTTAACAATTTAAAGGCGAAATTAAAAAATATATATTTGATTCTCATCTTAACATTAGAACATAATATTAAATTATCTAAAATAGTTTATTTTCTTTTCTCTTTTGTAACTTTTATAAACAAGAATGTCATCATTTCTTTTTATTTATTTTTTCTCTTATTTATTGAAACAATTTGTTAGACTTTGTGGTATGGTACAAGAGAATATGAAAATCCAAATTTGAGATAGAGAGATATAAGATTTAGGACGAAAACTTGGCAAAATTTTTCAATAAATGTAAGCTTTTTAGGTGGGACCACGAAAAATCCATGTTTTCTTATTCGACAGCCTCTGTCTTGTCTCATCCATTCTCGCATTTTTTCCATCTTCTCTTTGTTATCTACTAATAAAAAACTTACCTACAATCTGTCCTCTCTTCTCTTGTCTTCCTTCCCTTTCACCAAATATTAATGCAATTTAGTACTTAATTTATAGTTATTGTTACGTAAATGATGTGTCAAATATGAAGTGAACTCATTTCTCACTTTACAAACAGTATTTTCTCAACGAAAAAATAAAGAGAGAGTGAGAAAATATTAAAAATTTACACTATTAAAAACTCCAAACTTATAGCCGTTACACTTCGATTTTGATAAAGAATTACAAGTTACCCACAAACCGATTCTAAAATTGTCCCTATTTTAAAGGAAAATATCAAAGAGGTGATACGTTTTTACTCATTTGCCATCACAATGTTATTTTTTATAAATGATTTCTGGCAAAAATGAATAAAAAGATATAACTTTTAAAACTTATCCAAATAAAAAAGAAAAAAAAGATATAACCCCCTCTCTGTCTTATAACAAACTTAACTACCAAAATACAAAAATGAAAAGTACATCAATCTCTTAAAATTTCTCCAGGCCATCTGTAACAGACCTGGTCAACACATCTCTCATATATCATCCTGTGTTTTCCATTGATGAGGTAACCCTATAAATAGGACAATCTTCTCCATATTACCGCAATGCGATCGGACCTTCGAACAAATGTCCTGGATACATGGTGGAATTCATCTTCTCCACCCATTGAATCATTTGATTACTGGCCTCTAATCGTACTCCGACAATTATAAGAAAAAGGTGCAAGTAGTAGACATTTTTTGCGAGTTCTTTCTATCTCAATTCCAGAGGGAGATTTTGAACTCCCCTTGAATTCTCATTGAATTGTCAATTAACTTTGGGATTGAATTTAATTCCTACCACTGGGTAGGATTTGGAATTGCTTTTAAGTTTTAAGAACTGGTACAGAAGAGAAATGGCGTTCAGTGGGACAACACAAAAATGCAAGGCCTGTGATAAGACTGTTCATTTCATTGAAATGTTGTCAGCAGATGGAGTTCCTTATCACAAGACCTGCTTCAAATGCAGTCACTGCAATGGAAAGCTTGTGGTATGAACATTCTTCTTTGGCCTTTCTTTTACCTCCCTGCACCATATATCAACGTAATATACAAAGAAGGGTAAATTAGACTCACATTCTTTGAGATTTTTAATTTTTACCCTAGTGTGGTCAATCTTCCTGAGTGTAACCGAAACGCAACGTGTGATTACTCATGACATGTGGGTAGGGTTCACAGATACTCTTCTGAGTACGTAATTGAGTCTCGCAACAAATAGAGGGCTCTTACAGTAATGTAGGAATTACTATTTTGAGTTGAAATTATATATTTAGCCTTCCTAATCTTTTTGACAAAAGTACCCTTATGAAAACCCCATCCTCTCCCCTCTATTTTCCCCGTGTAAGTGAGGAATTTGAGCAGATGAGGAACAAAACTGAACGGAAAATATTGTAACTAGCGCTTGATGTTGTTGGGTTTCAAATGGATTAAGTTGGTGTAAATTTGATGGGTTCAATAACAACAAAAAATTTAGCTAGTGAAGCTCAAGCAAGGATGACATTTTTTTTTTGGTCTGCATAGAGATAAAATGAGAGTTTTGAAAGTATATATGATTCATGATTCTTTATTTGGTGTGTCACATATAATATGATATACATATATATATATATATATGCATGTTGCAGATCAGCAGTTACTCCTCCATGGATGGAGCCTTGTACTGCAAACCTCACTTTGAGCAACTCTTTAAGGAGAAGGGAAATATTCCTAAGCCAGTCCAATCATGTAAGTTTTCCCTCTTCTTACACACACTTTAGGAATCCAAAAACCCTCTCTTTTATCTAATACATGACTAATGAGTTGTTTTTTCTTGTGGATGATCAGCTGCAAAGCCAAATGATCAGCTGGTACACAAATTCTATCCGCGCTCATCTGTTTCCTGTTTTCTTAAACTCTTTTGCTCTGCTCATATATTAATTTCATATAAATTTTCTCTTATTCGCAGACTAGGAAACCTAGCAAACTCTCTGCCTTTTTCTCTGGAACCCAAGAAAAATGTGCAGTCTGTTCCAAGACTGTCTACCCATTAGAGAAGGTCTTCAATTATAGTTTTGCGTGTGTGTGTGAAGCTGTATTGAGGTTGTTAGTCCTTAATCTGTAACATTTGTTTTCAGGTGACTGTGGAGGGAGAGTTTTACCACAAATCATGCTTCAGATGCGCGAAAGGGGCATGCTTTCTCACACCCTCTTCCTATGCTGCTCTTGATGGCATTCTGTACTGTAAGCACCATTTTTCGCAGTTGTTTAAGGAGAAGGGCTCCTACAACCATGTCACCAGGATTGGTTCAATTAAGAAAAACACGGTGGTACTACCGGAAGCAGCAGCAAAATCCACACCGGAACAAGAAGCACAACCAGATAATTCAGACCAGGCAGGAGAGCAATCATAAAATGTACACATATATATCGGGAATGTTTGGTACATTATTCCTTGTTGCATATCAAATTCGGGGGTGCCTCATTGTATTAGGCACCTGCGTTGTGATCAGGAACTTCTTGTTTCCTAAGGCTTCAAGTTTGTTTTGATTTGCAAGCATGTTCAATGTGCTCTTTATTTTTTAATGAAATGCAAGACAAAATAAAATAAAAGTCATTTTGTACTTTCCTCTAGCTCCTGATGAAGCTTGAATTGGCAAGATCATCATAAACATTGTCATTGTGTGTATTAATGAACATGTAGGATCAGATATTACAATTAATAGTGGTGAAAGTAGGCAAAAACTTATGTGATTAATGGAAATAGTAACTCACACATAAATTAAATGTTGTATATGGTGAAATTGAATGACTCCCGCTTGGGAAAAAAAAAAAAAAAAATGAATTACAAGGTAGCAAAAGTGTTGGAGGTCTGAGGCCATAACTCTTTGTGATGGTCAATTATTCATCATCAAATGTGAGAATACTGGTCGAATCAACAACAAGTGACAACAAATAATAATAGTGTTATGTAAATATCGTTGAAAATTATGTCTATATAAGCCTCAACATACCAAATACCTCGCATTAATGGAGCAATGAACACTAATGGCCTTAAATAGTAAAAGTGCCCTAATCATGCAACATGATCTATTTATTGAAAGAATGATTTTCGCACTTGTTTTCAGCTTAATTAATGAAGTTCCATTTGAACTGAAGTTAGTACCATTTGAGTTTGAAGGTTTTTTAAATTTTTTTTTTTTTTTTTTGACAAGAAATACACTAACGCTATACTCATTTACTTGCAAGGGACTAGAATTCCCGACTTTCTAATTTGGAATGAGAGGAAGTACAGCTAGAAATTGGTTAAACAAGTTAGGCAAGACTTGATTGCTGTCTGCTTATATTCAGTGTCTTTAGGGACACTCCTGTCCATACACAAGTTGTTATAAAACACCAGTGCTTTCTGTTATATGGTATCGTGTCGTGTCTGTAGTATGCTAATTGTGAACGAGAACAATGTGCCTGTGTCTGCACAATGCCGAAAATACCCTCACCTCTTAAACATAATCCCATGAATACTAGCCCTTTTTTCGTTGTGTAGTTGCCGCTCCCTTTTCCTTGCAGTTCAAGCGTCACTTCAGATTATATATATGCATATGCCATTGCCAGACATTCTGACAGCTCCTAAATCCTCTCTCTCTAGAACTTTAGGAATGAGTACAGGAACAAGCACCTTTGTTATCAGATGGATCAACTTTCTCACCACAGTATGTACCCTTTGGATGCTCTTTTTTTATTCCAATTGGTTCTCTTGATTCTCAAGTACATTATTCAATGTGACATTGTGACCTCTCTTAGACACACACACACACACACACAGACAGTATTTTCTCTTGGGTTTGTATCAGTTGTCTGATTTTAGCTGTTAAAAGTTTTAGATTTGGGTACTTTGGTTTAATATGGGCCTTTATGGTCTTTATGCTAATTGGATACAATCTTTCCGGGTTCGATTCCCGGCTGGTGCACCTTAGTTTACATTTTATTTACTCAAAAAAAAAAAAAAAAAAAAAAAAAAAAAAAAAAAAAAGATACAATATTTCTGCTTAGCACTCCGTTTACCATGGAATACTCCGAGTCTTATATAGTTTTCAATAAGATGGTCTCAAGTATTTAGTTAAAAAAAAACTGATTGAGACTTTTATCATTTTCCTTTTAATTTTAGTTGGTTTATGTTGACTTCAATTCCTCATCGTGTAGCTTTTAGCAATAGCCGTCATAGGCTTTGGGGTTTGGATGAGCACTCATCATGACGGCTGTCGGAAGTCCCTCACTGTCCCTGTCCTAGGCCTTGGTACCATCATATTTGTAATGTAAGCTTTCCATTTATTTTAGTTTCTTGTACTATAATAAATTAAGGAATTCATTAAATTTTAATGTTTTCATTTCCATATATTCTTCCTTAAATATATCAAAGACGTTATGTTTGATTTTCAGATCGATGATCGGATTCTTGGGTGCAGTGAAGAACAACTCCATAATGTTATGGATTGTATCTTTTACAATTTGCAATATTATAAATTCTGTACTGTTAAATTTTAATTTATTCATTTTTTGTTTTTTCAGTATTTCCTTATCCTCTTTGGCTTGAAACTTCCTTAAATTTTAACTTACTTGCAGTATCTGATCATGTTATGCTTCATTCTGGTGGCAATATTGGTCTTCACAGTTTTTGCGTAAGTATGTCTTTTTTTGATTGAATGCTACCATGCTTTGTGAAATTTATCCAACAGCTAAAATGGGCTAGTTGTGTAAAAATCTGGTAAATATGCTTTAGGTCAAGCTATCAATCTTGATGGTTTGATTTACCAAAAACTCGGATGCAATGAGAGCTGTTTTTCCCATTATTCAGCTCATTACCGCTTGATTACTGTTTGTAGACTCTGTGTTTTAGGGGGAGATTATATAAATATAGTACATGTGACATATTTTAAAATGGACAACGGAACAAGAAAGAAAGAAAGAAACAAATAGAAAATTGGAGAACTATTAAGATGTATGATACAGTGGAATATCAGGATTGGATTCATGTATACAAACCTTAAAACAGTTGGATACAATCGGTACTTTACACAAGGCCATCTCTAAAAAGTCCAATTGAAACCACCCCAATGCATTGAAGTTTGCATTTTCATTTTTGAACTACACTTTAGGCTATATTCGGCTGCATCGAATTGGAGCTTTGGAATTAGAATTAGTGGAATTGGAGAAAATTTTAGTTAAATTTTCTGTAACTTTGAACAAAACTTTTCTCCAATTCCACCAATTCCAAGGCTTCAATTCCATGCAACCGAACATAGCCAATGTTTCTTAATTGTCATTAATTTTTTTTGTAATTCAACTCCTTTTGCTTTGCAATTGGTGGTAAATTGAGCCATGTCCAATGCAGTATTCCCTAAACCTCGCTGGAGATATCAGATATCTGTCTTTTTTATCTTGCTTGCAGCATATGCTTTAAGCATAATTTTTTTAAATATATGTTTTTTTCTTTCTGTTTTTAGGTTTATTGTAACAAATAATGGATCTGGTCATAATGTAGCTGGTTTGAGGTAAGATTGCGTGATTTTTCTGATAACATCATTATGTCCCTCATTTTCTTGGGTGTAAGAACACTGATGTGTGTATAATAAGTTGCTTGCTTCCTCATCAGAAATCACACATTTCGAATCTTCATGATTTATGAAAAATTTCAGCTCATTGATGTTATAGCTTATAATAGAAATCGTTTTACTTTTTCTTAAACATATTTCCTTCGCGGTTGAGCTGGGATTGGCTCAACTGCAGCCATTAATCTCTGTCTGGTTAGGTACAAGGAATATCAACTTCAAGATTACAGTTCATGGTTTCTAAAACAGGTAAAAAAAAAAAAAAAAAAAAAAAAATTTATATAAATAAATCAAGTCTCTAAAATATCATCTTGAGAGTATCATATTTGTTATTCTAATCTTCTTTATTGTTCCAGTTGAAGAATAGCCATAGCTGGAAGCAGTTGAAACATTGTCTCGTGAAATCTGATAATTGCAATAACCTATCTAAAAAATATAAGGTGAACTAATCAACCATTAAGTTATACTTTCTAATATGTTTCTTGTGACATCATTATAACCTCTTTGTTGCAGACTCTTACACAGTATAAATTGGCAAAACTAACCCCAATTGAGTCTGGTTGCTGTCGACCACCATCTGAGTAGGTGTTCTTTCTTACTGCTTTAATACTTTTATTGTGTTTCTCCCTGTGTCTTTTTATGTTTGAATCAAGGATAGTTTATTTCTTTGTATTCAACAGCCAAACACCTGTGTCATAACTATATAAATATATAATATCATTCATTGAAGTTCAATTTGTTCACATATATATAAAAAAATTTAGTGTTAAGTAATCTAAAGATCAGAATCATTAAAGTAATTTATGTACATTTTGTTATAGAAAATAAATTCACAGCGACGAAAATTGCATGTGACACACTCTTTTCTTCTTTGCTGGATTTCAACTCATTTCTTAGGTGTGGTTATCCTGCCGTCAATGCCTCATACTACGACTTGAGCTTTCATCCAATCAGTTCCAACAAGGACTGCAAACTCTACGAAAATTTCAAGCACGTCAAGTGCTATGATTGTGATTCTTGCAAGTAATCGTCATTTTCCAATGTCCTCCACCATTACCTCTCTTTAATTCAAAATCGATATCTCATTGCCATTTTCTTCTTTAATTTCATATTTTCAGGGCTGGAGTTGCAGAATACATGAAAACCGAATGGAGGGCGGTTGCAATCTTTAACGTGGTTCTGTTCATTGTCTTGGTAAGTCTATCTTATCTGTTGAATCTTAAATTCTGATATTCTTGGGATTTTTTACTTTGATTCTTAGGCCTGACTATCATCTGGTGCATGGCATCAGTCAATAATCTACTTCATAGGATGTTGTGCCAGACGAAATGCTGCAAGAAATCGATCTAAAGTCTGAAAAGGGTCATCTATATCTGTAAGTCTCTCCAAGAAGAAAATCAAGTCTTGTAATTTAGGGGTTACAATTCTGTTAGTTGATAATCATTTTTAGTATTATTATTTCAACTTCTCGCAAAAGTTTGTTACTTAAGGATCTCTATCCGAAGAATTTTCATTTGTGTGAAGGTTTCTCTCTCTGATATTGTGAAAAAGAATCATGTTGTTTCTGTGGCAAGTCACAAGTGGATATAACATTCTCTTGTGCTTCTATAACACCTAAATAGTAGAGACAAAGGTAGAAATTAATAGAACTTGGAATTTAAAAGAAGTTGCATATGCTATTCAAAACCTTCAAGTAGCAATAAAGTACATAAACTCATAGCAGAGACAATATCATTCACCAAAAGTTACCAGAACTCGGATACTTGCAGGCTGTTTTTATATTAGAATGTGGATGAATGCATCTGATCATAGTAGGAGCCAGAAGGACCATTATCAGGCAACAAAGCCAGCATTACAGGTGCTCTAGCACCTTCCTCGGGAGTCAAGTTTCCTGTTTTACCTGTAATATCTGTTTTGACATATCCTGGATGAACACAATTTACACAGAAATCAGGGAATTTCCTTGCTATGAGTCTTGTATAAGCATTTATGGCAGCTTTGGAAACTTTATAAGCAGACGCTACAGGGGGCCACCCATTAGCCTGCAACTTATTCTCCTTGAAATCCATTAGAAACCATTGTAAAACCTTGTCTATTTTCTCTTCCATTAAGCCGTCGACATTTTGCAGCTCTTCTTTGACCTTCTCATTGTTGATATACTGAAGAATTTAAAGAGAGAGAGAGAGGAAAGAATCAGAGTTTATTATATTTTTTTGTTCCTTCACCCGACAAGCTAATCATGCATGAAACTGGTGTGTCTGCTTACTCTTAGTTCTCCATAAGAAGAGGAAACATTCACTATTCTTGCTGAATTGGAGAGTTGCAGAAGAGGAAGAAATGCTTCAGTTACTCCTTTGGTTCCATAATAATTTGTCTTGAGAGTCTCTTCTGCCATCTCATAAGTTTGCTTCATGATTTTCTCCAACAAGTGAGCATTCTCATCGCTCACCTGCATATATCAGAAAGTCTCAGTCCTGCACTCTCCTGCTAGCCAAATTGTGGGTTACTTATAGAAATTCTCATTTTTTATGAATTCAACATTGCAGAAGCTTAAAATATATTAAATAACTAGATTCAAAATGAATTCCTTTGATATCCAGAACAAATATACATTCATGAATTTGTATCCAATTAAATATTGATCATATTGTTCTGCAAAGACTAATGCAGTGGGAGTTTACTTAAAACATTTCCTGGATTTACTTCTTCCTTAAAAACAAACCTCAGTGCCTCAAATGACATAGAAGTTATTTGATAAAGACTCTAACAGGGAAGCCTATTTGTAATACTTACAATCCCTCCTCCTTGTCTGAAGGCTCTAAATGCTTCACGATCCGTATTAATTCCACTAATTCCTGCATTATTTACCTGTAAAGAAGTTTATTCCACAAAAACACCCATTAGCAATTAATCTGATCACAAAGTGCTGTTATTCAACTCTTTTTCATTTCTCTTTATGTTATCAAATTGATACATCATGCTAAGCCATTGTGTATGTGTATTGGTATTGGTATCTTTTCTTGATATAATAGCAATAGCCAAGTCATGACTTAATTCATAAGGAATATATTGTGTCTCACCAGGATATCAAGTTTTTTTAAATGAGTTTGTACATATTTTGCTAATGAAGCAATACTGGCAGGATCTTTTACATCAAGTTGATAAAACAACACATCTGAGAGCCCAGAAAGTTTAAGATTGTCAATAGCTTCAATACCCTTCTTCTCATCTCTGGCTGTTAATATTACTGCAATTCCATTAGATGCTAGCTGTCGACATATCTCAAGCCCAATTCCTTTATTGCCCCCTGTAACCACAGCACACCTGGAATAACAGTGATCCACTGAAGATTATCAATATGTGTGTATATATATATATATGTGGTGTGTGAATAATTTGTGTTTCCATACTGTAAAAAAGTCAGTCATGATACCTTTTTGCTGTTGAAGTACTATTGGTGGTTTCTTCCATTTCTGATGAAAAACTAGAGTAGTTGATCAATGTTATTGACTTACTGCAAGATGATATTGAATGTTCAATTTGTGAGAATCTTCCTTCAATCTAAGTACCATTGAGGCTGCCATTATCCATCTATATTATATATAATAGCTGTCCTACGAGTGCCTCGTGTCCTTAGGTGGTTTGGCCTTTTCTTTAAAATTTGATGCCTTTTTATATCTTATGTATTTTTTTTCAACATATTTTAATATAATCGCAACAGATCTTTCACTGTTTCATAAAAAAAGAAATCTAGATTAATCTCAATGAGGTGAGTTTGTCAGTATTGGTGCCGGCTGGGGATGAGAAATTGCCTTGCAATTTCATATGCTTTCTACTTGTATTCCTTGTGCTTTCTTCATCTTCATCATACATATATACAACTTTGGTTCATATGATATGGGCAACCTTAGTTAGTGATGTCTCTGTGTTGCGTAATGAAAACTCATGGCCTGCATCCTCAAGAAAGAGCATATATGTAATAACATATATTTATATATGTGTAAGATCTAGGTGAAGAGTTTGAAGCTTGAAATGTTGGACTCTCATTTTAGCATTTCATTATCTTTGGATTGTGAACTGTGGGTGGTTGTGTAATACCCCTAGTTTTAAAAAGGATAAAATTGAAATTTCAATTATTTTTAATAAATTATTTGAGTATATTATTATTTGATAATTGTTTATTTGTGGTTATTATTTGCATTTTGTGTCTTATTTGTTTTAATTGCATTTAATTTTGTCATTTAATTAATTATTTTTGTTACATTGAACTTGATAAGCTGTTTGTTTTAAAATTGACTTATTTGGTAATTGTTAAATTTAATAGGTTAAATATGTAAATCCGTTAACTAAGGTTTTAAATATGTTTTCAGTTAGGGTTTTCTTGGAGCCGTCATACAAGTATCTAACGTGTATGTGACTTAAGTTTATGGGCCGACTCTAGTTTAATTAGGATTTCTGCCTTAGCTCTAGTTTAATTAGGGTTTTCTAAGGGCCTATATATATATACGTGTATGAGTTTCACTAAGAGTTTTGGAGAACCCTATTCACGGCACAGTGAAAATAGGACGTAACAGAGAGGGAGTTGAGAGAACAGAGACAGTCGTAAGAGCTACCAAGGACAAGAATAGAGAGGATCAAAGGAGGGTTGTGGTGGTTTAAATCACACCCATAGGAGGCTTGAAGGAAGTTAGTAGTTGCCGGAAACTTAGAGACGATGCTGGGGTTTTCATAACTGAAATCAGGCAAGTTCTTCTACTTTCTCCTTCCCTTTGGCTCGTGTTCAGTGCACCTAGATAATCTCTAGGGTTTAATCAATCAGTAACTGAAATTTACATGCTTAGTATATGTTATATTAATAATCTGTTTGTGTTGAAATCAAAACTGTTACAATTTCTACATGTCTCGTTCCAATTGTTTTTCTGTAAGCATGTAATCTCTGTTGTAACTTTAGACTTAGTAATTGATTTGAACTACTGCAAACAAAACCATGGGGACATTACTCGGATGAGATAAGATCCTTAGGTTCAATGGTGAAGAGGAACAAAGGGGTTGGAATTGGATTGAAACTTCTTCGATTAGTTTCAGAGTTGTTTTTCAAGTATACTGGTTTAATGGCTTTGTTTAATCTCTGTAATTTGATTCACATTGTTGTAAACAAATCTTGGGGATGATTTTAGACTTAAATACGACTCTTAACTTAGTTTTAAAACCAAACATAAAGGTTGCAACTGGCCGGAGTTGGAACAGAGGTCAGAACGAAGCTGAAACGGAGGGGTAGCTCACAGGGGGAGAGAGAGCCGGCTCTGGAATGCCAAGAGCCGGCTCTGGAATGCCAAGAGCCGGCTCCCACCTGTTTAGAGCCGGCTCCAAGGTGGTGGTAGAGCCGGCTCTAGGCTGATTTGGAGCCTGCTCTATTTTTTTGGAGCAGGCTCTTTCATTTTGAAGCGTACAGTGACTTTTTGGCTACTGTTTGGGCACTTGGGGTTCTTGAACAGTTTTAAAACTTTAGGGGGTTTTTCAATAATTAATTTAACATGTAATCAAGGTCTTAGATTGCATAAAATACCCTCTTTGTATAAATGGAATTAATAGTGCGCTAATTAACAACTTGCGCGCGGTTAATTACTAGAAGGAAGTTAAGTTGCCTAATTTCAATTTGACAATTTAAGGGGCGACAATATGATTCTAAATTAAAGTTTGGATGTATAATGGAGTCTTTTAATTAACAAAATTAGACTTGTAGCATATTGTGGCTCTGTGCTAAAAGATTAAACAGTATACTAGTATATAACTTAGCACGCTGTTATCGGATGGAGAGAATTAACTTGCTAAATTAATTTAGCAATTTTATTGGACTATAATATGATTGACAAATAATTTTAATGCATGATAGAGTCATTGATACATTAGATGTGATCTACGCATGCTTCGGATGCTAATTGTTGAACCTTTAAACCGTTTCCTACAATTACATGGTTTAACACTTGGATTTAAATTACTGAAACTATAAATTGTCTTCTGCAATTATTTGGGATGGTTTTTGGATTGTAAATTGCTAAACTGTTAATTGTATGTTGTAATTTACATGGTTTGGATGTTCATTGTGGAATCTTATATATATTATTCTACAATTAATTGGATTATGGTTTTGAACAATAATTGTTGTAGCATTGCATAAACTATTCTGCAATTATTTGGATATTTGGTTTTGGATTGTAAATTACTTACTTATTATTTATATGTTGTAATTTACATGGATATGGAGGATTGTATGCACCGGTATGGGACGGTGACATACTAGGTATGATTTAGCTCAAAACGCTAATTCCTACCTTATGGATTTTAATTGGTGAACAGTTTTACCTGTTCAATCAATTATATGGATTTTGTGGATTGTATGCACCGGTATGGGACGGTGACATACTGGGGACAGACTGATTCAAAATATTCAGTCCTACCTATTTTGGAATAAGGGTACGGGTTGTTAAATAAAATCCTCCTTATTTATATGAGTCGGTGCGGTTGAATACGCCGAACGACTTCCTAGATTTCTTATGGATGAATGTGAATGAAATTTATATATATTGTTATGGTACCATGACATGAGCTTGAGTCTCATAGTCGACGGTTAGGGAGCGTATATGCAGTAGGATGCGTAACTAGCTATGTTGGTTGAGGTATACCCTATTAGGCTTAGGTAATCATGCTGTGATACCCCTCGGATCCGAGACATGGGTTGATCAAGCCCAGGCCCAAACCCGAGGGAAATCAAACAATTAAAGTATTTTAAAACGGACACAGATGAAAAAATGAAATAAGAATAACTATTAAAAGCTGAACAGAATACTAATATAAAATCCTCAATAGCCTGATAAAACTTAATAAAATCCAACTTCCAAAACTTCCATGAATTACAACTCGGGAATCCATCTAGTGGACCCCTAAATAAAAATCTCAACTGAAACGTAAACAACTGACATAAAACCAAATACTAAAATATAGAAGGACATCCTACGTCGTCGGTGGAATGAATGATAATCCCTGCACAGCACGATCAAGCCTAAGACTGGAATCGTCCGATACCTGAAAAATAAGAGTGGGTCAGGCCCACGAACAAGTTCTAATCTAACTGCAATCCATACAGTGACCCGATACGCAGATACACCTAAATACCTTACAATATCTATCTAGTTCATACATAAATATATCCACACTAGAGGACCTTCACTGGACTATAATGGGGTCTCAACCTGAGTAGAAGGCAACATGCAAAAACGCACCCAAAGGTGGGCATGAATACCTAGACCTAACAGGGTACACCTCAACCATCATATCCAGCTATGCATCCCAATGCATATACGCTCCCTAACCAACGACTCTGAGACTCATGCCCATATCGTGGTGCCATAACATATATATAAAGTCCGTCTAACCCAAGGTATGCCATTTTATTATTTATTGAATTGACATAAGAATTTTAATCCAGTTTAGTCATTCAACTTAATCAGTCGATCTGACTTAAACACAACCAACATTTAATCCAGCTAGTCATTCAACTTAATCAGTCGATCCGACTACACACAAACACAATTAATCCAGATAGTCTTTCAACTTAATCAGTCGATCTGACTAAACAAGGTTTAGGATTCAATATTTTACAATCCATCCCTTTCATCCGATAGGTTAGGAATTAGCATTTTGAGCTAAACCGTCCCTAGTATGCCACCGTCCCGTACCGGTGCATACAATCCTCCATAACCATATAATTGACAGAATATATTAATTCAGCAATTAAAATTCCACATATATATAATCCAAAACCAATATCCAAGTAATTGCAGGAAAACAGTTAAAGTTCCAGCAATTAAATCCAAGCATTAAACCATATAGTTGCAGATTGTGATTTCATAACTCAACAATTAACATCCAGATATGCATATATCAAATCTAATATATCATTGACTCTATTACATATTCAAAATCAATTCTATAATCATATTATAGTCCAGTAAATTGTTAAAATTAATTTAAGCAATTTATTTCCTTCCATCCGGTAACAGCGTACTGAGTTGTATCCTTGTACTCTGTTTTATCTTTAGCACAGAGCCCTAGCCTATCTATAAGTCTAATTCATCAATTAAAAGACTTCTCCGTGTATCTAAAATTTAATTTAGAATCCTATTTTAGCACCATACATTAGCAAATTAGAACTAGACAATGAATTACCTTCCAGCCATTAACCGCACGCAAAGTGGTTAATTTGCGCACTGTTAATTCCATTAATAAAAAGAGGGTATTTTATGCAATCCAAGACTCTGATTTCATATTAAAGTATTTGTTTAAAACCCCCATTAAAGTTTCAAAACTTTTCCTGAACCCCAAGTGCCCAAACAGTAGCTGAAAACCCACTGAACGCATCAACTGGAAAGAGCCTGCTCTTTTAAAACATTGAGCAGGCTCCAAAATGGAGT